CGGAAGTTGCCCCCGCCGCTAGGCATCCATTTGTTGGTAAGCATTTTCATGTAATGGCCAGATAAATTGCTTTATGACCTCTCCGAGCTCAACTCCCAAATTGACGATTTTTTCTTTTCCAAATCTTCATCGCCATTTTTCTCAACCAATGCGCCAGTACTTCACATTTACTTTGAAAAGCTATGGATTGCAATTGGAAACAATTTGCTCGACTGCATGGCTGATGGATTCATTTCCATCACCAAAGTACCAATCCTATATGCTAACCCACCTATCTTAGTGCACCGTTGCCGGTAGAGCACTGATGGCGTTAGAAACGGAAGAAATTGCTTCCATCCTCAAGTCAAGAGGAGGTCCCTCAGCAATCCAAAGGCTTTCTCGCGTTCAAAGCGTTATCAAAAGCTTCTACGTCGACAAGGTATGCACCTGCTAGTATTTCCACAGACAAAGTCCGAATATTTCTCAGCACAGACCACATCATCGAGCCTGTCCAGCAGATTGGGAAAATTGTTGAAAAGCACCTCCAGGCGCACACCGGGGTTTCCCTGACATATTTATCACAGCCGGAATTGTAGTGTATATATAAAGCGCATTGATAATCAGGCTTAGGATATATGCAACTTGCAGTAATAGTAGGCATGAGGCATCAACATTTCGTTGCAAAGTTAGCATTCAAGACTTGCATGGCGAGCCAAAAATCTTATTTTTGGCAATCTTGATGTTCGGCCCTGCAACCTTTGCCTTTTTGGTTTGATTAGGATGTAAGGCCCAAGTTTTCCTCCTCCAATCGACTTACCCGGAGTATCTATGCCTGTGTTATCACACGGTGGCTTGAGTGGGATTTTGCACCAGAATCTTGAGGTCAATCGACTTTTTATTGCGGCGCTAGCCATGATAATGTGAGAGAGGAAGGGGTATAAGCAGAGTTTTCACATCGCCTATTTGAAAGTTTACCACAGAAGCATGAATAGCTGAAAATTACATCCCAGAGCGATATTGGCTTTCCTCCCGGAATCGGAGTCGCAGGCGAATCAACAACTAAAGCTGACGAAAAAAGCCAGTTAGCATTCTAACAAATGAGAACCTTTAAATGCCCATCAAACTGGCCTTTTAAACCGGGCTTGCTGGCCTTTTAAACTGGGCTTGCTGGCCTTTTAAACCGGGCTTGCTGGCCTTTTAAACCGGGCTTGCTGGCCTTGTAAACTGGGCTTGCTGGCTTCGTATGTTTGTACTGTTTGCGGATGCCGGAAACACAATGGAAAATGACCAATTAAATTGGGATGTAGTTTCTGGCTCCTCGTTTTTATTTTGTAACGGCTACTTGGCGTCCCCGATGCAACTTTAATTTGTGTTTTATTTGCTAACGTTTACCAAAAAAAGAAGCCGCTCTATTTACAAAGTATTGCGATAACCTAGGACAGACGGTTACTCAACTTTGCCTCTTATTTCAGATTCGTCTTTACTTATCATTCGAAACTCGGCGCGCACCCCATAAGAGTCAACCTCAACAGGGAAAAGCAGCGGACAAGGAGGGCTAGAAAACGAACTAGAGCCGGAAATAATTTTTATAAAGGAGTCTCGCTCACTTTGATTTGGAAAGACGTACAGAGCACAGCCACCGCCTCCAGCCCCAGTTATTTTAGAAGCAAATGTGAATGAACCACTTTCATTTCCAAGCTTTTCAATTTGACCTCGTAATTTGATGAATTCTTCAGAATCAACATCCAGTCCATATGGATTTGAACACGATAAAAGCTCTTGATTTTTTGAAATAAGCTTGGCCAGACAAGCAAAGTCCAGGATCCCGTTTTCGGTTAAAAATAAATCTAGCGCCCTCTCAACAACGCTACCAATCGAATCAATGACTGCGTCAAATGATGCAGCATCGGAGTCTTTAAACTGCTTGACCCTTGCAACCATATCGCGAGTATTCCGCGAAATTCCAGAATATAAAATTGCCATCGAAAATTTCAACGATGAAGACTGCAGCGAAAATTGGCGCACCGAGATGGATTGTTCCAAATGGTGACTATCCATGGCGAAAAATAAATTTTCATTGGGCTTTCTGGAAAAGCGGATTGATCCTCCAAGCGTGCAGATTAACGGATCCAACCCGGAAGATGTGCCATGAATTATGGTCTCAGAAATATTGGACCAGGTGAAAATGTCCCCATCACAAGATATTAGGGAGAAAACAGATGCCACCAAAGCAGCCCCAAATGAGGCGGATGATCCAAGGCCAGCCCCTACCGGAATTTGCGTAAAGGTATGAAAAAGAACAGCACCATCTTCTTCCACAAAAGGACAGAGAAAAACGGCAGAAAAGAATAAAATAGACATTATGCCTCCGTTAGGAAACAAATTGCCTTTTTTTACAAAGGACACCGGTTTTAACGACGAAAGCAGAATGTTTACGAGCGAAATAGATTCCTGCTTCCAAAGACGGTAATCTGTCAGCGATGAATTCCTCTCAGTGCAAAAAATTTTCAACTCGTTATGCAGTGATTTCAAATCTTTCACACAGATATGGGCAATTGCCGATGCATCCACCTGGTTTGGAACCGTTCCGATGCCAAAGGCGAGCATCGGTTTGTAACCGTCAATTGATGCTGCGTGGGTTAAATTGGCCCTGTCTACATGAGTGCCAACTTCATAACAAGCATTCGACTTGACTTCTTTCCTTTGGTCAAAATCCCCGAGTTCAATGCCAGTATTCTGCTGTTCCCGGTATGGGTTACCCTTCTTGTCTTCATCAGCGACGTTGCTTTGCTTTCCGGAACACAACTCTGTCCGAACAACTGTCCGCAAGTTAAGTGAAGTGGCAATCGCAGGCTATGCAGTTAGTGAAACCTCCCCCCACAATACCTTTCCATAAACCACAGAGTGCTCTCCAAATAGGATCACTTTGGCTGGTGCACTTGCTTCTGCAAATTTGGGCATTTTGAACTTTTGGCGCGGCTGTATAATTAGCGGACGAAAAACTTAAATTTCGCAATTCGGATCAAAATATCGTGCGTTTGAGATGGAGCGCAAAATCAAAGAGCCTTCTGACATGGCCCTTTGGTACGCATCGCCAGCCTATGGCGATATCACCGATTTCTTAAAATCTTGCAATACCCAGCTGGCGGGCAAGACCCTAAGTGCCCTTGCAACTTTCAAAGTATGTCAATATCCCGCTCTTCGTTTAGGAGCCCTCCATTCTTTCTCAATACTTTTCCATTTTGGATGACATCAAAGGCCTTGCAGATTCAATTGCACTAGATCCGCCTTTGGCAACAAGATATGGAAATGCGGCATTCAGGCGCTTCATTTCAGCGGTCGAGTCAGATGTGCTACCAAAAATAGCGGATCTTGAACTGCGGACCTATCTGCTTGAAAGCTTTGGAAATCCACTCAGGATCGATTATGGCACTGGTCACGAACTCATGTTTATTTGCTTTCTTACTATTCTTTGGAAACATCTCAACTTTGCGTATCAATCTAAGACGGCATCTGAGGATCAAATCCTGTTCCCCTGTACCAAGTCAGGAGATCAACTGTCGCTGATGGACAAGCCTTCTATCAAAGAAGCGCTTGACATGCTTCCGCTTCTTTTTTCCAGGTACCTGGAAATATGTCGCTGCATCCAACTTCGTTTTCGCTTGGAACCCGCAGGCTCACATGGTGTGTGGGGACTCGATGACTTTCAATTTATTCCATTTCTTTGGGGCTCTGCCCAGCTCATGAATGAGGCTGAAGAATCTTCAATACCCCCGAGCGCCGCCGTTCCGAAAGATAGCCTCTCCATTGCCATGATAGAGGAGTTGAGTCAGGACTATTTCTACTTTGGCGCTATCAATTTTATTTGCACAGTAAGTCCCCTTCTTGCAGGCCAACTTTAGGTCAAACCTGTGGGGTTTTTCGCGCAGCACTCACAGATGGTGTACAATATCTCAGGCCTGGATTCCTGGACAAAGATAAATAGTGGGTTGATGAAAATGTATTTCAAAGAAGTCTTGGGGAAGCTGCAAGTCGTTCGAATGATGCCTTTTGGCACGGAACTTTGTTGGCACAAGTCCTCGCCTTAGTGATAAAATGTTGGCATGCAAATGTTAGCCAAGATATTTGCATCAGCACAATCAAAGGGATAACTGGCAAAGCTATAAATATACCCCATAATGGATGGGCTACACAAGCTAAGGTTGCTGGATTATTTATTAACATCGACCTGGTCTTTCTGGAGTATTGTCTCGATGTGACGTCCAGTTATCTGATGATACAACTCCTTGACATCTGCACACACAGACTCAAAATGACTCGATGAGTCGTAGGAGCGGGAGATGAAAAGATTTTGGGGGCAAGAGCTGTTCTTTGCCGGCACGCAATAATTGGAGATGAAGACAAAGCTACAATCAACTCAATGGTAGAGGCTTACCATTCCAGAACTGGACCAAGTAGTGCTAGCGCTGATGAGATTTCATCAATAGGGTCCAAGTGCTCCTGTTCCTGCAACGTGCTAATATAGGCAAGGAAAAAAGGAGACGGAGCCACACCATGTGCATGTGAAAGCACCGTTATATACATATCTAGCGATAACCCAAAGACATGGCCTACCTGATAGCCGAAGCAGCTCGCGCTGTGGGATGATAATTTGTAACGAGTCAATACCCCCTGTGTGCGGCACTGGGCCAGGTAGGATACAAACGGCTCGAATGATTTTTGATTTTGTTTCCACAAATGAAGGAAAATATGAAGGATCTCCGATCACTCCTCGCCTGCACTGAAACGTACCGATGGGAGAAGATAAATTTGCTGCTGGATGGCTGTTAGATGCTTCTTTTCCAGCACCATTAGAATGTACTTCCACAGGAACGGTCCGCACCCCGGAAATAACCTGACCGTGCTCATTTGCTTGTTCAAGCAGCACAACGTCACCTACATTAAGCATGTAGGTGCCTCCATGAACTGCGCCCAATCTGCGTGTGAGAATAACCCTCTCACCTTGCAAATGCCTGGGAAAGGTCGCCAAGACCGAAAAGTGGGTAAATGAATGGAGATTTCCCAAATCTTGTTACCGAATTCATATAAAGAGCGATGGCATTGCATGTAGGAAGAGCCTCCCGTGTGAGATATCTATGCCATCAACGAACATCCTTACGAATCATCGCTTTGTAATGCTAGAGCGTGGCCAATAAAGTCCTGAGCGCTCCTAGCAAGCCCGTATTTTTCATAGAGGGCGGCCATCGAATAAGTGGCTAGTTCTAAAAGTAAATGCAATGGTCAATAGCTGGAAAACATATAATAATTGGGCAACAACCAGAAAATGACATGCTCAGGTTGAAGAATAGGAAAATTGCCTACGAGAACATACTTTTTTTTTCTTCCTCTCCGTGCTCAGCAGAGGAGCTCCTCCGTATAAAGTCGAAAAACTTGTATGCTCGCCGCTTCTCGAACAATCCGAACAGGGGAGAGAGAACTGTTTCCATCTCCGTTGCAGGTACTTTGTATATGTGTCCATCACGATACACAAAGGCGCCATCGATTTGACGAAACTCTAGGTATTTTGTCACCGTCGTCAAGGCTAGAATTTGTGCAAAATCGCCTGCTGCCATCAGAAGCTTGGGAACGGTGTCGATGTAATACTCGCGTGGAGGTCCAAGGAGGGCGCCCCCTTTTGCGGTGTACTTGGCAGGCAATTCGGCGTTCAACAATTTTTCATAAATCTAGAAAAGCATATAACGCAGTGTGCTACTTGGCCAATTGAGAGCGATGTACAGGCACCTCCGTAATATGAGTTGCGGTCAATATGGAGGATGCGATGGCCCTCCTTGGAAAGAAGGCTGCTTATGATGCACTCTACCAATCCCGTTCCTAGTACGATATAGTCATATTGGTTCGTATCGCCATTCTGGGCCATTAGCAACGTAAGTGTCAAACCATATGGAAGAATTGTAAAAAATTAAGGCAAAAAGTAAATTTTATTGGGCCGCAAATTCAATATAACCCGGTCTCCTCATATGACACGTGAGTCATGATACGCAGTGCGTCATTCATCTAGAAATAAGCAAGTATTTCAGAATATGCCAGCAGGCGGTTGAACCATGAATTGCTCTTAAGACCGTCGTGATAATAGTCATCATAATTGTACTCACCTTTTACAAATGTACATGCACGGCTGGCAGTTCCGGAGAAACTCAGCTGACAGGCTCAATTGATATTTTGTGAGCTGGCTAAAGCACTCTCAAAGGAGATTATGCGATATGGGAAACGGTCTATTTTGCAAAGTATGAGGATTGCCTAAGTCTCAGCAA